GACTTTTACAAAGTTTGACTTTTACAAATCCTGACTGTTTACAAAGTTTGACTTACAAATTCTGACTGTTTACAAAATTCTGACTTTTACAAAGTTGGACTTTTACAAATTCTGACTGTTTACAAAGTCTGACTTTTACAAAGTCTGACTTTTACAAAGTTTGACTTTTTACAAATTCTGAATGTTATCAAGTCCTGACTGTTTACAAAGTTTGACATTTTACAAATTCTGACTGTTTACAAAGTCTGACTTTTACAAAGTTTGACTTTACAAATCCTGACTGTTTACAAAGTCTGACTTTTTACAAGTTCTGACTGTTTACAAAGTCTGACTTTTACAAAGTTTGACTTTTTACAAAGTCTGACTGTAAATCAGCCGAAGCCCTGTGCTCTGGTTCTGACACTGGTTTGGGTTCAATGCTCCTACAGAAGTTTAAGTAAAAACAAAACTATCAGTGAGCCCTGACAGCAGAACATCGTATGATGGAGATAAAATTAATTAAAAACTGTCCCCATAGACAACCATCCATCCATCATCTTCCTCGTTCTGGACTCAGGTCTCGGGGCATCATCTTGAGCAGGGAGGTCCTGACATCTCTTTCCACAGCCACCTCTTCCAGCTCTTCTGGGAGGACTCCAAGATGTTTCCAGGACAACAGAGATGTAGTCTCTCTGTGTCCTGGGTCTTCCCTGGGGTCTCCTCCCAGTCGTACATGCCTGAAGCGCCTCCCTAGGGAGGCGTCCAGGGAAAGTATTTACCAGATTCCTGAACCACCTCAGCTGGCTCCTCTTGATGTGGAGGAGCAGTGGTTCTACTCTGAGTCTCTCTCAGATACAATAACTGAACTTCTCACCCTGTCTCTAAGCGAGAGTCCAGCTACCCTGCAGAGGAAACTCATTTCAACCTCCTGGATCCACGATCTCATTCTTTCAGTCTCTACCAGAGTTCATGACCAGAGGTGAGGGGAGGAACGTAGACCGACCAGTAAACAGAGAGCTTTGTCTTACAGCTCAGCTCCCTCTTCACCACAATGGACCGACACAGAGTCCACAATACTGCAGACGCTGCACCAATCCATCTGTCAATCTCACGCTCCATTCTTCCCTCACTCGTGAACAAAACCCTGAGATACTTGAACTCCTCCACTTGAGGCAGAACCTCACACTCGACCTGAAGAGAACAATCCACCCTTTCCTGACTGAGGACCATGGTCTCAGATTTGGAGGTGCTGGTTCTCATCTCAGGGTGCATTCACACCAGCCCTTTTTAGTCCGCTTTAATCGAACTCCAGCTCGTTTTCCTAGAAATTCCGGTTCGTTTGGGGAGGTGTGAACGCACCATCGAACTCTGTCACGGAACAAAAAGGCGAACTCTGGCCCAGGCTAAAACCTAGGTCTCAGTCCGGTAGAAGAGAACTCCAGCACGGTTCGAGTACAGTGTGAATGTAACCAGACCGGGCCCCGCTCCACAAGCAAGAAGTGGAGTACAGAGCAGGACAAACAAACACACATTTAGCTCATATGGAGCCGTCAGCTGCCTTGTGTGAAAAACAATATTCTCCGTGGTCTTCTGTCTCATCTTCTGCTCATGCTGAGTCCATGGTTGAAAAATGACAAAATATAACTCCTAAAACTGCTAAAACTTGATGCCACTTCATTTTTATTTTTATTTACAGAAGAAGAAGAAGAAGACGTGTCTTCAGAGGTTTTTGTGTTGTTTCTTTCAGTAGTTCTTGGTGCAGCGCCCCCACAGGCGAGCGGGGGAACAGGTTGGTTCAACAGGTTGCTTCAACAGGTTGGTTCAACAGGTTGCTTCAACAGGTTGGTTCAACAGGTTGACTCAACAGGTTGCTTCAACAGGTTGCTTCAACAGGTTGCTTCAACGGGTTGACTCGACTGCACAGTGCAGTGTGAATGCAAACGCACCAGCTCAAATGTAACAAAAGGTCATGAATATTGGTCCAGAACCGAACCGAGTCTACCGGACTATCAGCTGTGAAAACAACCTCATCTGCTTCACACTCGGCTGTGATCCGCTCCAGTGAGAGCTGAAGATCACGGCATGATGATGCCAACAGGACCACATCATCTGCAAAGAGCAGAGATGGATTTCTGAGACCACTGAACTGGACTCCCTCCACCCCTGGCTGCACTGAGACGTTCTATCCATAAAAGTTATGAACAAAATCTGTGACAACGGGCAGCCCTGGAGGGTCCGACTTACTACCAGCAATGCGAACCAAACTCACTACAAGTCAATCATCAATCTACGACCTAGGTCCATGTGGTGCCAAGTGCACTTATGGACACCCTTGTGTTTGAACATGGTGTTCGTGATGAACAAACTATGACGAGAACAGAAGTCCAACGCTCAGGTTCAGATCAAAAAGATTGTTCCTCCCAATCAACACCCCCCCCCCCCCCCCCAGGTCACACTGTCATTACCCACATGGACATTGAAGTCCCCCAGCAGAATAAAGGAATCCTCAACTAGACCACCTTCCAGCGCCCCTGCCAAGAACTCCAAGAAGGTCGGATACTCTGAACTGCCGCTTGGTGCGTAGGCACAAACAACAGTCACAGCTCCTTCCCCAGGCCTGGCTCCAGGGTGGGGCCCCGGTAACCCCCATCCAGGCAAGGGACACAAGTTCCTTGTTCTTCTTTGTCCATAGTGTTTTGAATCACTCTTTGTCTGGCCCGTCACCAAAAACCAGTCTGCCTTGGGAGACCCGACCAGGAGCCATCGCCCCCGACAGCAGAGCTCCTAGGACAGGGCTATTCAACTGGCGGCCCCCGGGCCATTTCTGGCCCACGGGCACTTCAATCTGGCCCACTTCATTAACTTTTTTTCTTTGGTTCTGGGTTTTGGGTTCTGGTCATTGCATTTATGATTCAAACAATAAAATAAACAAATTGAAAAGGTAATGGATCATTGTAAACTTTGGTTTATTTACAGAATGACTTTAATCGCTGGATGTCTGGCCCCCGAGCTGCTGGCTCTCAGAAACTGTGGCCCCCCGAGCAGTTTTGTTGAACAGCCCTGTCCTAGGATCAATCAAACTCCTCCACCACGATAAGGTGGTGATTCACCGAGGTCACCGTAGACAACCATCCACCTGTTTGGATCTCCAGCTTAGACTTACTTTTTACTCTGTGGTTCTGCATGAAGAGCTGCTGTGTGCTGTGCCTCCTTTCTGTGTCCCCACTTCTACAATTTCTCCAGCAGGCTTTTGTTGTTGTACTCTATTAATCCCAACGGGGAACTTCATTATCTGCATTTTTCCCATTGCACATGTGAAGCAGGGAGCTGACATCTGGGGCGCCCGGGGAGCAGCTGGGGGGTGTTTCACCTTTTCCACCCACATTTTGATGTTGTCGGTCCGGAGAGGTGAACCAGGGAGTTGACCGGCGACCCTCCGATCACAGGCCCATCCTCTCTAACCTCTGCACCACCACTCCCCAACAGAACTTCCTGTTCTTGTAATCATGGCCACCCCTGTAGATCCTGCAACCTTCATCATTCCTGCAGACCTGGTCTGGTTAGGTTCCTCAGCTTAATGCATGCATTTGACTCCAGTTCCCATCAGCCACCTGGAGTCCTCCTCCATCAGAACCAGACCCGTGGGTCTGACCTGGTCTGAGCCTGTCCTACTGTCTGCAGTGATTCTGTTCGAGGCCTCCATGGAGTTTCTGGAGAACGTTGCTGATGAAGAGGAGGCTGACGATGAAGACACCTCATCTTTCACCACCGCCCCCCTCCCCCCGGTCTTTACCCCTGTTGCCATAGAGACCTTACCGATGCGTTATGACCACGCCCACAGGGAGGGGCAGCTGGTCGCAGTGTCCATGGGAGGCGGGGCATTGTGTGATGGGTTTAACTCCTCCCACGAGGACTACTACACACTGAGACTGAGAGGTACACACACACACACACACACACACTGAGCATGCTCAGTGAGACGTCGTCAGGTGTCTCGTCTGTCATTAAATTAATTTCTTCATAAATCTGTCCAGCTCTGTCAGACGGCCTGATGGTCGACGTGCTCTTCCTCCCTCACTTCTCCTCTTCATCAGCTGTCCTCCATCACTCCAACACCTGGACCTCCATCTTATCCCACGGAGCCTTCTGCTCTCAGACACCTCCTCCCTCTCCGGGTCAGTACCGGTTCAGACTTTTCTCTATGAATCTGTTCTTTCTCATGATGAAGATGATGATGATGGGCCTTTCCTTCTCTCACAGCTGACCTCATCGCCATGGCGTCCCAGCTGTCCAATCAGAGGCTGGTTTGTGTCCTGGAGGCGTGTCACCTGGGCGGAGCCAGAACTGAACTGGTCCTGAGTCGAGCGTTCCCCCTGACTGACTGACGTCTAAACTTTTATCATCGCTCGTCACAAAAAGTGCCCACAAACTTCTTGAAGACGTTTCAGTAACGATTCCACTCAGTCTGCTGCTTCCTCACATGGAGAACTTCAATAATTGTTTTGTATAAAGTCTGTGAATGTTTCTGTTCAGAGACCTACAGAAATAAACTGAAATGTATGTGTGTTAGCAAAATATCACGTGAACCATTCTGTGGATTAAAACAAACCTCCCAAAGTCGTCTCCATCTGGACCTGATTAACATCAAGATGGCCGCCTCAGCTCCTCGTTCAGCGGGTGACTTCAGTTTCAGGTTTGTTTGAATTTACTCCAGTAAGGAAAGAGTCAAGAGTCTTTCAGCCTGTGGAGGCAGATGTTTCAGTCCAGATGTGTTTCTGACTGAGCATCACTTCCTGTCAGGTTCACATGTTTGATTCCCGCGCTGTGCTTTTAGATCCATCCATCCATCCATTATCTTTACCCGCTTCTTCCATTTTGGGTCACGGGGGTCGCCGGTGCCCATGTCCAGCAATCAGTACGAGGGGCGGGGGACACCCTGGACAGGTCTCCAGTCCATCACAGGGACACATAGAGACAAATGAGACAAACAACCATTCACTCTCTCTCTCTCACCTAGGGACAATTTAGAGTTACCAATCAGCCTAACATGCATGTTTTTGGTCTGTGGGAGGAAACTGGAGTACCTGGAGAAAAACCCACGCATGCACGGAGAGAACATGCAAACTCCACCCAGAAAGGCTCCTGGACTGGGATTTGAACCGTTGCGCTGACAGTTGCGCCACTGTGCTAAATCGTTGTGCTCTGAATTGTAGAACCGCGCCGCTCGGGGCGGCTGCATGTTGGAGCAGCTGTTTCTTTCATTCTGAGATTTTGCTTTTGGAAACTTAAATTCCTCTATTTCTGGATGTAAATCACATTTTTGGATGAATGTTTCCTCTGGTGTCGGATGCTGTGCAGCTGGAAGGATTTTTACATTTGAACATTTCTTATGATGCGTAACCATGACAACAACGTTTTTTTTACAACCGGGAGCATTGACATCTCAAAAGCTCAAAGATTATCTCAACTACAGCCCCAAATCTCAAACGATTTGAAATGGAGGCTCCATGGATGCATTCCCGTCTACTTGCCAGCTGTGCTCGAGTACCTGACCACTAAGCTCTTAAGATCTCCTAAGGAGATCCTGGAACTGGCAGGAAACACAGCTCGTGACAGCAGAAGGACCAGGATCATCTCCTGGCACCTGCAGCTGGCTGTCCGCAGCGATGAGGACCTCAGCACGCTGCTTCTCAGCGAGAAGGTTGTCAGTTCAAATCCAGGCCTAGGACCTTTCTGGGTGGAATCTGCATGTTCTCTCCGTGCTGCGTGGGTTTTCTCCAGGTGCTCCAGTTTCCTCCCACAGACCAAAAACATGTTAGACTGACTGGTAACTCTAAATTGTCCCTAGGTGAGAGAGAATGGTTGTTTGTCTCTATGTGTCCCTGTGATGGACAGAGACCTGTCCAGGTGTCCCCTGCCTCTCACACAGTGATGGCTGGACATGGACACCAGTGACCCCAGGACCCAAAAAGGAAGATGGACCGAGTTTTCAGTTTTTTCCTGTTTTCAAACCTTCCAGACGAGCTGCAGCAGCTTTAAGCTCCAAACTGTCTGAGCAGAACGAGTCCTGCTGGATGAGAGGGGGGGCTTCAGGTGGGGGGGACGGGCTCTGACCTGGATGATTGAGCCAAACGACAGTCCAGAGTATCCGGCCTCTTGGAATCCTTGACCCGGGGGGTTGGGGGGGGTACTAGAAGGTGCTCCAGCTGGGGATTCCTTTATTCTGCTGGGGGACTTCAATGCCCACGTGGGTAATGACAGTGTGACCTGGGGGTGGGGTGGGGGGGGGGGGGGGGGTACTGGGAGGAACGGCCTCTGATCTGGACCTGAGTCCAGAACCAGAGCATGGACAGAAACATCAGAAGAAACGGATCAAACTGCACATTTAGGTTAAATTTCTGCCTTTTTCTTGTATAATTTGGTGAATTATAATTTTCTGCTCAACTAAATCTCACAAAATAAAGTTGTAATTTTTGAATAAAACTTTTATTTATGTTGCAAAAAACAATAAACACATGATCTGCTTCATTCTGGGATAAATTAACATTTTAAAGCAGATCTGTAAATCTTAAACATTTAAACTGTTTCACTGAACTTTAAACTGAATATGATTTTTATTGTTCAGTTTAGAATAAATTAAATATATAATTTAATATATAAAATAAACAGGTGGCAACATTTAAAATGCGAGTCGTTCCTGCAGCAGATGATCAGAGTTTAAATGATAAAATCCAACCTGAAGATGAAACAAACACCTGAACTTCAGTTTAATAAACCAGCCCAGGTGTTAGTAACTCATCTGTTAGTAAAATATTACTGTCCCTGCTGTACAGAGAGCTGAGGATTCAAGAAGAAACTTCAGTTTTCTCAGCTCCGAGTGGACCTCAGAGAAGCTTCAGCACCTCCTGCTGGATCCATGCAGGTGCAACACTGTCCTCAAGGTTTTCACATGCAGGTGCATGACCCAGCACATCTGGATCCATGCTGAGGGGGCGGGACAGGGGGACGTCTCCAGGACCACCACAGATCTGAACAGGGTTCAGCAGAGTCTGAGGCTGGCTGGATCCCAGACACTTGTCCGTCAGGAACCATGACCAGCTGAACGCAGCTTCCTGAGTCTACCTGGCTACTGATGACATCACAGGATCTCTACACTGTGATTGGCCGCTGCCTTTATTACCTGAAAGGTTTCAGGTAGACCTTCAGTAGCTGATGAAGATGAAGCTGGTCTTGGTCCTGTCCTGTGTGGCCTGTGTTTGTGCAGATGGTAAGGGTTCTGATGGGGTTCTGATGGGTCAGGTCTGTGAGGACTCACTGAGTCGGCCTTCTGCTCTGGTTTCAGTTCTGCATGACAGCTTCGCAGCAGTAGGATGCTCAGAGTCTGATGGTGTGAGCGTGCTGACACTGGATGGTGAAGAGATTTGGCACGCTGACTTCGCCCGTGAGACAGGAGTGGACACGCTGCCGGACTTTGTCCAACATATCAGTTTTGAAGGACTTTACAGCCTGGCTGCGGATGGAAGGAAGGTCTGCAAAGAAAACTTGCCAAAGGTGCGTGAGGGTCTGAAGGACTTCCCAACAGCACTCGGTAAAAACAATTCAAGTGTTTCCATTTTCAGCTTCTTAAACAAACCAGTGAGCTGAAGACGCTGGCTGAGATCGAGTTCTGGTGGTCGAATAATTGGACCCAGAGGCAGACACTGTTTGAACAGGTGATGATGATGATGGTACTGAGGTACTTCCTGTGATTTGTTTTCAGATCCTCCTTACAGTTTTATCTACTCAGCCCACAGCGTGGAGCCCGGACTGAAGAACACTCTGATCTGTCGTGTCTCCGGGTTCTGCCCTGCTCCTGTTAAAGTCCACTGGACCAGGAATGGACAACACGTGTCCGAGGGAACCAGCATCAATGTTCCTTTTCCAAACAAAGACCAAACCTTCTCTCAGATCTCCAGGCTGGACTTCATCCCACAGCTGGGAGACATCTACAGCTGCACAGTGGAACATGTGGCCCTGAAAGAACCACAGACCAGGATCTGGGGTACGAGAACGTCATTTATACAAAACACAGATGATCCAAATGTGGAGGTTCTTCTGTCTCCAGATGTTGATGTCCACGTCTCTGGTTGTGTCTCCAGATGTTGACGTCCATGCCTCTGTTTGTG